TGCTCCATTGTTCATTACGTGGTCAGGCCCTAATATCCTCACTCACTGTTGAGCATTTAGGCTGTTTCAAAGTTCTTACCATCATAAACGATGCCGTCGTGACGGGACACCTTCCGCATGCATCTTTGTTCGAGTCTACTCGCTGCATCCCGTTCTCTCATGGGGGAGGGGAAGGAGGGGCAGCAAGGTGGGAAGGAGGGGAGGGAGGGCCACCAGCTGCCCAGGCCACACTGACCACCTGGGTGTCCCAGCCACCTGCTCCTCTGGGCAGGGTCCGCCACTGCCTTCCTTCCCAAGGAGGGGCCCCGGCTCTGGCGCCCCCTGGAGGGTATGTACTATTATTATCCCAGTCTACAGATAAAAAGACTGAGGCACAGAGAGGTTAACTAACTTGCCCAAGGTCACACAGCTAGAAAGTGGTGGGGGCAGGATAGTTCAGGTGTCTGGACTTGTAACTACATGCTCTAGCCAGATCATTCGTGAGGTGCAACCCGTCCCCAGTGGGTGCCCTCTCAGTAGACGGGGCCTCCTCCCCGACACACCAGGGCCTCACACGTCCCCTGGCCCAACCTGGAGACCCCTGACCTCTCGGAAGCTCCGGGCCAGCAGGGCCTTCGCGTGTCGTCCCCATGCAGCCTCCAGCCGGGCCTCCCGGAGCCACAGGGCCCACCGCAGAGCCCGAAGGCCCCTTCGCAGCAGCTGCCGGCGGCCCAGTGCCACCGCCGCTGCCACGGCCCGCCGTCTCCGCGCCAAGGGCCTCCAGGCTCTGAAGCATCTGGACAGCAGCTGCCGGCTGGGCACAGACCAGGCTGATCCGCGGGCGGGCCTGGCCCTTCCACCCCCAGGGAGCAGCTGGCGGCTGGGCGCCACCCGTGCGCCTTGCCGGCACTCACGGGGGTGACGCACCATGCCGCAGCAGGGAGGACTTCCCTCTTACTGGGGGCTGGACTTGGCAATCCCAGACAAGAAAGGCCTTGGAGGCAGGAGCACACCCCATTTGACGGACAAGAGTCCAGGGCAGCCTCAGGTCAGGGCTCCTGGTGCCCCGAACCCAGGAGCAGCAGTCCCCACATTCTTGTCGCTGGGGCCACGAGGCTCTCTTCATTCCCCAGCAGGGACAGCCCAGACAACGGGAGAGGAGCAGCCCTGGGAGCCTGGCTCCCCCCCCCACACACACACACACCCGTGGCCTCACCGGACTGCCTCCGATTCCAGAGCCACAGTGTTTGGGACCTGGTTCTGGGAAAGCAAGAGGAGGTGACAGTTCTCAGGCTGATGAGTGGGTGGGACAGGACTCCCCCTTTCCCACCCCCAGCTCCTCTGGCCTGTACCTGCGGGGTGCTCCTGGCTACCTTCGGGGTGCTCCTGGCTGGGGCTGCGTCTGGCGGACAGGAAGCCGTGCTCTCCTCCTCCCTGTGGGCCAGCTCCCTCAGGGCCCCCTCCTCTCCTTTCCGCCTAGGTAGGCCCCCCCGAGCTGCGCCAGAGAAGGCTGAAGAGCAGGGTGTGGCCTCCCTGCTGTACACCCCTTGAGGAAGACGAGGGTGGCCCCTCTGCGCCCTGCCACACACAGGCCCTGGGGAGCAGTCCTCCCCGGGCCGCAGGGGGTGTGCGGGAAGGGGCCCCTGCTCAGGGTCAAGATCTCCAGGCAGCATCCCCGAAGTGGTCTCCGGCCACGCTGGCTTGCTGCGTGTCCAAGACTTTGAGGGACCAGCCTGAGCCCCCTGGGACTCGAGGAAATCTGCAGTTTCCCTGTGGCCTTGGGGGAGTCTCTTCCTCCTCTCCTGCCAGAAGGCAAGAGCAGGCCGGCTGGGCTGGGGCGCCCGGCCGCTGCTGGCCCAGGGGTCCCGCTGCGCAGCACCTGGGGACCCCTGGGACGCCCTGCACTGGAGACGGGCCGCCTCCTGCTCCAGGCGCCGTACGGAGGCCAGTAGCTGGTGGATGGCAGCATGGGATGGGGCCCGAGCCTGGCTCTGGCCAGGGACAGCCAGGTCGTCCAGCGTGAGGGGTTCCGCTTCCACCCTGGAGGGCCAGTTCCCCAGGCCACGCCAGGACCTGGGGCCTGGCTGTGTGCGCCCACTGAGAGGGGCAAAGCCTGCCTCGGGCCTCAAGTCCAGGCTGTGCGTGTCTGTGGCCGGCAGCCTGGACTGCATCAGGCTGCGGGATGGGTGACTCAGTGGCCCCTGGGGTAGGGGACTTCCCCAGGGCAGCACGTGGGGCCCGAAGCTTTCCCGAGACTCCGGCCAGAGGCGGGGGCTGGTGGTCTCGCTCATGCTCAGGTTACTCTGCTGGGCAAACTCTCGGGCCTTGCCCTGGGGCCTCCCAGCGGCAGGCTGCAGGTTACTCTGTTGCCAGAAGCTTGACATGGCCAGTGGGCCCCTGCTGTCCCTCAGGGCTAGGCCCAGGCGGGGACCCGGGCTGGCGAGGTTGGTCTGGACCCCGCAGGGCTCCTGGTGCAGCGCCGCCCCTGGGGAGGGCGTGGCAGCAGGACTTCCCCTCTTGGGCACCCGCTGGCCACATCCACTGCCCGGGCCGACGCCCAGGCTGCTCTGGAATCTCTGTGGCTCTAAAGAGAGGAGAGACAGTCATGCCCTGGGGGAGGACTCGGTGGTCAGTGCTCAGGAGGGACAGGTGGGGAGTCTGGCCTCAGAGCTGGGCAGGGAAAGGGCCCCAGCGAGAGGGAGCAGGACTCCAGGGCTCTGCTGCCAGCTCTGTCTCCAGGGTGGACCGATGGGTGCCCCTGGGGGTCTTGGAGGCAGGGGTGGGAGCCACCGGGAAGCAAGGAGGTATTTAGGAGGCTGTTGAGGGGCTCTCAGGCATCAGGGTGGCAGGAGGGCAGAGTGGAGGTTCGGACAAGCTTCAGAGGCGGAAGCAAGAGGCGGGTAAAGGGAAGAAAGGGATCAAGGCTGACTCCTTGACTTCCAGCGTGAGCACGCAGGACATGGGGCAGCAGGCTGTGGTGACAGCGAGACCCCATAGAGAAATCAGCCAACTGTGAGCTGCTCTGGGGACACGGAGGTGGGGCTCGGAGGCCCCCCTAAGCCCCCAAGGCCATTCCACAGCCCAGAGTCCTGGAGGGGATGGATGAGTCGCCCAGGAGGCTCTCAGCAGCGGGCCTGGCAGATGGAGTGGACCCTGAAAGTTGCCACTTTTTTGTGCAGAGGAACTAAAGCTCAGAGAGGTTAAGCAACTTGCCCCATGGTCACACAGCTAGAATACGAGGAAACTGGGATATGAATCAGAATCTGAATTTGTTCTTGGGGTGCTCCCACCCTTGGTTGGACCAGCTCTGCGGCCTTCTTACAGCCCTGAGAGCCTGAGCAGGGAGGCCCCCAGCCCACCACCCCTGGCACAGACTGACCTACGAGAGCCCATCTCAGCCAGGGGCACCAGTCGGGCCCAGGCCTGAGCCCCTTCTTCCTGACCTCACTTGCCCAGGCCCTAGCCTAGAAAGACTTTGTCCTGCAAGTAGCTGCCTGTGGGCGGCTAATCTTTAGAATTATCGAGGCCTGGGACAGGGGCTCTGGGCCGATGCCTGCAGGGGCCCACCCAGGCCCACTAAGCCTCTTGCCTGGCCTCAGGGGTGCCCCAGGCCTTGGGGGCATGTTCTCCTTGTGACTGGTGTCCGGTTGTGGCTCCATGGAGTCCAGGGCAGTGTCCTTGGTCTACACCATGCTCAGTGGTCTGGCTTGTTTGGTCACGTGGGCTCTGGGGGGAGAGGACAGGCTGCCCTGGCTCCCACCCAGCCCTGGCCTGGCTCTGGTCCCCACCCCCACCCTTCAGCAGCACCCTGGCTGCCCCCTGCCCAGCTCCCGCTGTCCTGGGCCTGCCCCTCACTGGTTGGGCCTCCTGGGGGCTCCTCTCCTGCCCCCCATATCTTCCCCCTTTCCGTGTAACCTGCTGGGGTCTTCCTGTGTCTGCTCCTTCTAACACTGACTGATACCCCTGGCCACCACCACGTGGACGCCACTGCCTAGGGTGCTCTCTGGGAGGGGGGACCCTGGCAGAGGGGCGGGGCCCTCTCCGCTTCCTGTTGCCACTTCCAGACCACGCTCCCTCCCCCTCTGGGAAACACTCCTGCTCTAAGCCCTCTGCAGCTGAAGGACGTCTGGGTGGAGCCTCCATTCCTACACATGCGCAGTTCTTGGTTCCTGACACTGTCTCCAAGACACCCACGGCACGCCTGAATTGTGCGTGATGTCACCATCCACAAGGAGTCCCCAAGGACGCCTGGCCCTCGGAGCCCTCCCCCTGCTCCCCTCCCCCAGTCCTGCTGTTCACCGGACCTCAGCCACCTGCTCCCATGGTCTCCCCCGACTTTGTCATTGAAGTAACTGCCCCCTCCACCAATTCAGTTTCAGGGTCCATGCTGCCTCTCCGGCTCATACCCGCAGTGTCCCAATGTCAGCGGGCCTCCCCCGTGACACCCCAACCCTCTGGCCCACCACCCTCCAGCTGTCTGTCCCTTTTGCCCTGGATGTCTCTCTCCCCTCCTTCGGCAGCTTCGGGATCAGGAATTATAATCATCCTCTTGGAGCCCTCCCTGTCCTCGCCACACTCGCTTGGTGAAACTGCAAGGCTGGTGAAGGCAGAGCCCCCCTCGCCCACACCTGGCAGGTGACAGTGGCTGGAGGCAACCCCACACGTGCACTTGACTGCCCCCCCCAGTCCCACCTGCCGCCTCCAGGGGGCCTGAAAGGGCGCTTGAGAATCAGACTCTGGTCCCCTTCCTCCTAGATACTGCTTCCTGCTCTCTCCTCTGTCCTCAAACCTCTGCCACCTCCTCTCGGGCTGCCTGCCCCTCAGCACGTGTGCCTGTGGCCTCCCCTGCTGGGGACCGACCAGCCGTGGTCCCCTCCCAGCTGGCCCTCCCCCTTGTGCTCTGGGTGCTTCTTTTTCTCACCTGCCCACGGGCAGCACCTGGGGCCAGCATGGACCCCACAGCCCCAGGGCACAGCTTGGGGACCAGGCCCAGGCCCAGATGTCACCCCCTTAGGCAGGGACCCCACCGTCAACACGTCCCACACCTCTAGTGAACAGTCACAGTGAGCACAGAAGCAGCTGGTTATTGCTTCCAACTCGAAAAAACAAAACAAAACAAAACAACTCCCCTCCCAAAACACCCCTCTTGAGCCTCCAGGTCCCAGGCCATTTTTCACCCTCATCACAAACAAATGCCAATTCCTCCCCACCTCCCCCAGGGGACCCGCCCCACAGAGCTGCCTTCCAGGGAACCCAGGATGCCCTGACTCCAGGATGCCACTGCAGACCTCTCAGCTGCTGCGGACCGGGCAGTCTGCGCCTCCCCCACACGCCCCCGCAGGTGTCCAGCGGGCACTGCAGCGCAGTGCGTCCACAGCTGAACTCCCTGCCCTCCCCAAGACCAGCTCTCTCCCATCTCTAGGGAGGCCCCTTCTCCACGGATGGCAGTGCCAGGCTTCTGGGGGCTCAGACGAACATCTTGGAGCCACCTGACGCCCCCTCCCTCACCCCGGCAGCTAATCCCACCTGCTCTACCTTCCAATGGCAGCCAGAATCCTTCCTCTGCTCTGCCTCCGTCCTGCCTCCCTGGGCCAAGCCACCATCGCCTCCAGCCTCCCAGCTGGTCTCCCTGATTCTGCCCTTGTCCCCACGCCCGGCAGTCCAGTCCCCACGCAGCAGCCAGGCTGATTCTGTGAGCCCTTAAATCAGACCAGGCCCTGCCTCCGCCCAAATGCCCCGAAGGCTCCCCAGCCCATTCAACGTCCCCATGAGCCTTCCAGGCCCCAGGTTGCCACAGTAAGGCCTGGGCCAGTGACCCCTTACTTCAATATAGTTATATTGGAAGGAAGCCACGCCCACTGGTTCGTGGACCGTCTGCTTCCTGGCTACCACGGCAGAGCTGAATAGCTGCAACAGAGACCCTAAGGGCCACAAAGTCTAAAGCATTCGCTTTCCGGCTCTCAGCTACCTTCCCAGCCTGCCCTCCCTCCTCTCCCCCTGGCCCACTCCTCTCAACACACCAGCCTCGTGGCTGCTCCCCCAACAGGCCGGGCACGCCGCCACCACAGGCCCTTTGCACTGCTGTTCCCTCTGCGGGACCTCTCTGCGCTCTCCCGCAGCCTTCCAGCCCTGCCTCCAACGCCACTGCGACCTCCGACCTCCCTGCCGTGCGCTCGCCCCACCTGCAGCTCCCCGCCGCCCCTGCATTACTCCCCAGAGGCGCTTACCGCCACCTAAGGTCGTGAAGAAAGGGGTGTGTTTCTCCCTGCAGGGGCCTCTGAGCCACACAAGCGCAGGCTGTTTCGTCTCTTTTTTCCGAGCGTATTTGCAGCACGTAGACTAGGGCATGGCACACAGTAGGCGCGTAGGACCACATGTGACTAATAAATGAATGACAGCACCATGCTAAGCACCCCGCAGCCTTCAGCGGGCATCTGTCATTTCATCTGCGCCGCAGCCCTGAGACTGGGGTTCCCTGTTTCGCAAATGAGGAAACTGGCGCTTAGAAAGGCCGCCTGCCCAGCCCCGGGCCGGCTCCCCAGTCCCAACCGGGACCACCCCTCCCCCGCCTCTCGCCAAAGCCGATCTGCGGCAGCTAATCCACAGGGTCCCCTCCTACAAAAGCCGGGCTCATCCGTCCATCTCCCTGCCTCCCGCCGCTCCCTCCGTCCGCCCCGTCGCCGCTACCCCCGCATCCTTGTCCACTCGAGGACACGCAGAGCCTCCCGCCTGTCCCCACCAGAAGAGCTGGCGGTCAGTGTCCTGCCCTCACGTGCGTCGGTCCTCCTCGGTCCGCCCGCACCCAGTCTGGTTTGGACCTGGAGGGGACTTTGGGTCGGGCAGGCTAACGACCCGGGCAGGTGGCGGATGGGGGTGGAATGTCAGAGAGCCGGGAAGCCCCGCCCCGTGGGCGTGGCCTCCGGCGTCGGCTGCTGCGCACGTGGTCCTCTGCGTGCGGTTCCGGCCAGCGAGGCACGCGGCCCCGTGCAGCCTTCTTGCGCGCGGGCAATACAGGCGCAACTCTCCCGGCCTTCGGGTCCCCCCCTGGGGTGCACAGAATCCACGGTGCCCACTCCTCGTCCTGCCGTGAGCCTGGCCCAATCACACTCTAAGCTCCAAACGTCCCTGCGTTTCCCCCTGCCAAGCCTTTGCCTACGCTGTTCCCCACCGTGCCCTGCTATGCCTTTCCCTCCCTCTGCCCTGCTGTGCGCTTGCTCCTTTCTAAGCACCCCTGCTGGGAGAGGAAAGAACACTGGGACTCCTGTGATTAAGATTGTTCTGCTGCTGTGTGACCTTAGGCAAGTCCCTAACCTTTCTTTCTTTCTTTTTTTTTTTTTTTTTTTGAGACAGTCTCGCTTTGTTGCTCAGGCTAGAGTCAGTGCCATGGCATCAGCCTAGCTCACAGCAACCTCAATCTCCTGGGCTCAAACCAATCCTACTGCCTCAGCCTCCTAAGTAGCTGGGACTACAGCATGCAGCACGATGCCCGGCTAAGTTTTTCTATATATATTAATTGGCCAATTAATTTCTTTCTATTTATAGTAGAGACGGGGTCTCGCTCTTGCTCAGGCTGGTTTCGAACTCCTGACCTCGAGCAATCCGCCCGCCTCGGCCTCCCAGAGTGCTAGGAGTCTCTAACCTTTCTGAACCTAAGGCATCTCTTCTGTAAAAGGAGGATGGCAACACCTACCTCACTTACCTCCGGGGTTTGAAGTGAGGGTCAGATGTTTAACAAATAAATGCCAAAGAGCCTTTTAAACTCTAAAGCGGTTCTTGAAAGAGAGAGTGATTACTGCATCCTTAAGTCTGTCTACTATCTCCTCCCACACCTGGTGGATGGAACCTTTTGTTGTTTAGGTTCTGATCCTCTTTTACCTCTAGTAATATTTTTTGCCCTAAAGTCAAATTGTGGGATATTAATTTAGCTACCCCAGCTCTATTTTGGTCCTTATCTGCCTGGCATAACTTTTTCATCCTTTTGCCTTCGGCCCTCTTGTGGCCATACTTTTAGGTATGTCACATGTAAACACGATATACCTGGAACTTTGAAAAATCTGATCTGACGGCCCTATATCTTAACCAGGATTTCATTCATTTACAAGGGTATAATTTTGACATATTTATTGTGACCATCTTATTTTTGTGCTTGCTAATGGTCACATTTTTTCCTCCTTTCTTGCATTTTTTAGAGTTGATCAAGATTTTCTTTTCCTTCAGGATTTTTTTTTTTCTACCTCTGGCTTGGAAACTATGCAGTCCTTATCTATTCTTTCAGCAGTTATCCAAGATATTTTATTAGGTATATTTAACAAAACCTAAAGCTAATCCAATATTTACCCTCTTTGCAGACAAAAAAGGGCCTTTAGAACACTTTGTCTCTGGTCAGCTTCTCCTGATTTATATATTATCATTGTCTTGGAAAGACTAAACTGTATGTTTACTATTTCCTTTGTGCATCTAGGTCTTTCTGGAAAATTTTCCCTGTTCCACCAAAAGATTCTTTAGACGCTTCTGTATTGAAGATCTATAGGTGATAAACTCTGTTGTCATTCTTCTGAATATCTTTATTTCAGCCTTGTTTCTGAAAGATAATTCACTGGTACACAATTTTAGGTTGACAGTTATTTTTCTCACCATTTTCAAGATGCCATCCCACTGTCTTCTTTCGTCGCTGTTGAGAAATCAGCTGCCAGTAATTGTCATTCCTTTAGGATGCTATCCTTTCTATCTGGCTGTTTTGGGGATCTTAATTTTTGTCTTTGGTGTTCAGCAGTTTTCATTCATTGATTCATTCATCCATTCTACAACTTGTATAAAGCACTGGCTGGTTTCCAGCACTGTTCTAGGTGCTGAAGATACAGTCGTCAACGAACAATGTTCCCTTACGACTTTAACCGTAGGTTGCTATTTATTTTGTTTGGGAATTGTTTGGCTTCTTGAGTCTGAAGTTTGGCAGCTGTTCACTTTGGGTTTTTTTGTTTGTTTGTTTTTTGAGACAGAGTCTCACTCTGTTGCCCAGGCTAGAGTGAGGGCCATGGCATCAGCTTAGCTCACAGCAACCTCAAACTCCTGGGCTCAAGCAATCCTCCTGCCTCAGCCTCCTGAGTAGCTGGGACTACAAGCATGCACCACCATGCCCTGCTAATGTTTTCTATATATTTTTAGTTGGCCAATTAATTTCTTCCTACTTTTAATAGAGACGGGTCTTGCTCTTGCTCAGGCTGGTTTCGAACTCCTGACCTTGAGCTATCCACCTGCCTCGGCCTCCCAGAGTGCTAGGATTACAGGTGTGAGCCACCGCACCCGGCCTGGAAGCTGTCCACTTTGGAAAATACTCTGCCATTATCTCTCTGAGTGTTGCTTCTCCCCCATGTCTCCTTCAGGAACTCTGGCTATGTTTATATTGTCCCTTCTCACTCTGTCCCTTGTTTCTTCACCTCTCTTTCATATTTTGTCTCTTTTTGCTGCATTCTGAGTAATTTCTTCAAATCTATCTTCCAGGCTACCATTTCTCTCTTCAGATGTATCTATTCTCTGAATTAACCTAGCCCTTGGGCTTCTGATTTTCATCAGTTTGTCCTCTGTAGAAGCTGTTTTTCTTTTTAAGCCCCACTGGCGTCCTAATCGCATTGCCACGTTCCAGCTCTGAAATCGAGTCTCCGTGTGCCCTTGTCCACACCTCCTCTTTCTGCGCCTGCGTCCCAGGCAAGGATCTAGGAGGTCACTTTACGTTGTGCTCTGGGAGCCCTTAGGTGCCCCGGTAGTGATGGCAGGAGGGTCACACTCACTCTTGTACATACTGGGTAATGTTTCTTTTGATCAAAGGGTTTGAAACAAAATATATATATTTTTTTTGAGACAGTTTGTTTTCCCAGGCTAGAGTGAGTGCTGTGGCGTCAGCCTTGCTCACAGCAACCTCAATCTCCGGGGCTCAGCGATCCTACTGCCTCAGCCTCCTGAGTAGCTGGGACTACAGGCATGCGCCACCATGCCCGGCTAATTTTTTGTATGTATATATTAGTTGGTCAATTAATTTATTTCTATTTTTGGTAGAGACGGGGTCTCGCTCAGGCTGGTTTCGAAATCCTGACCTTGAGCAATCTGCCCGCCTCGGCCTCCCAAAGTGCTAGGATTACAGGCGTGAGCCACCACGCCCGGCTGAAACAAAATATTTTAAAAGCCACTGGGCTAGGGGAGCTGGAAGCTCCTTTCAAGCTTAAATGTGTGATTCTGAGTTTGCATGTCAGATAAGACGTTTTGTAACCACCTGTGGACTGTGCAGGTAGTTTCTGGACTCCGAGTGGTGCACACAAGCCCCCAACCGCCTAGATAACGGGACTCTCAGAGTTCTGCTGCTGCCAGGGAGGAAAATCTCCATTAAAATGTAAACTTCCTGAAAAATTTTCCAATCTTTTGCAAACTTACAGAAAGCACTCAATAAATGTTTATAGAATCGATAATAAATGAAATAGATGGATGGATGGCCAGACAGACTGGGGTCACCAGGTCTCTCTTTGAATAATTACATGGTAATAGGAGTAATGAGATCTAAAACATTTACTAAACATACCATTTTCAATTCCCGCTGATCCCTGAGTCAGACACTATTATTATATTATACCCATTTTTCAGATGACAAAACAGGCACAGTGAGGCTAAGAGACTGTTGTTTCTTACACAGCCAACTTCAGGGTACCTTTGGGATTTAAACCAAGCCTCACTAGCTCCAGAGCCAGTTTGGAGACAGGCTGTGAAAACTGGAATTTCTGGGCCATTTTGGAGACTGAGCACAGGCGGAGGTGGGGCCCTGTGGGTGCTACCAGCTCTGGCCCAGTTTTGGGCAACAGGAGAAGGCAGGGACCTCCCCTGGGCAATTTCTCTGGCTTCCTCATCAGGGGGGCTCAGCTTTGAGAAAACAAGAAATAGATTTGAAAACTGGACAAGTGACTTTAACCCTCTCCAGGAGGAGACCAGAAGCAAGTGGAATTTGCTTCCTGTGCTTGACAGTTTCTAGAAGATCAGACACTGTAACCTCAAACCTGGAGAGTATCCTGCTTCCAAGCCCCTACTGACAGGGGCCTTTTAAAAGTAACATGGTGGTGAGGACGTCTGGTCGGGCAGCCCTGTTGGCACAGCATGGTCCACCCGAGACCAAACTCCCGGCCTCGCCCTGGGCCCATCCTTCCTCCCGAACAGCAGCAGCTCCAGCCTCCCAGCCACTCGGGCCCATACCTTGCGGTCACTGGCTCCTCTCTGCCTCCCATAGCCAACCTCACAGCAGACCTGCTGCTCGCCTTCAAAGTGTGTCCAAGAGTGACTTGTCACCACTCCCACCTCTACCCCCGCTCCAGGCCACCAGCATGGTCCTGTCAGAATGTGAGCCCATGTCCGACTCTGCCCAGGGCCTTCCAGGGGCTCCTGTCTCACTCACCAAAAGCCAAAGTCCTCGAAAAACAACTTACATGAACGCTGCACCCTCTGAGGCCTGCTGCCTTCCTGATCTTCCCCTCCCTCCCTCCCTCGGCCCGGCCACACAGCCGGGGCAGGCATGTTCCGCTCCACACCGTTAGCTGTGCCCTTGCCTAGAGCTCCTCATGCTAATAGCACCTCCTGGGTGACGTCCCCCCACTCTGGCACCCCCTGCATCTGGAACACAGCCTCGTACACTGGGGGCTCTTGAGCCCTCATTATATGTGAGCGCTGCCCCTCGTGGGGCCTACTGTGTGGACGGGTCGGCCACACTGGAGACCCTCACCACTGCCATCTACCTCTGATGGCCTTGGGTTCCTGGAGCCATGTCGCCTGCATGGTCAGGGAGCCGGAGTGCCGGGAAGTTTAGGTCACCCTCACCCACCCTTGGAGTGGCCCCTGCCAATGACCAGGAAGCCCAGATCCCTTGCTGTCCTGTCAGGGTCTGCTTCTGGGCAACCCTACCCGAGATGGGAGCTTTCCTCTGCCCTGGCCCCACAGAGCCTGTCCAGCTTGGGTGTCTGGACATGCCACCCCCTGTGCTTGGCAGGCTCTGTCATCTGCCCCCACTGCCCAGACCGAGGCCCTGCCCTCGCTCTTCGCTCCCTTTGGGAATTGGACACATTCATGACACAGGTGCACAAGCATGTCGGCCGCAAGTCTTCCCTGTGCCCGGAATAGGTACAAACAACAGAAAGGGTCCCATGCCCCGCAGGCCACACTCCTCTGCCACTCAAGGCCACTGCAGTCATGAACTGACATGTGTCCTCCTAGTCCCTACTTTTCTACGTTACTGCACATACACCTGAGAACCGTGTATGGCCTTGCTGTGAGGCCTTAAAATTCACACTTATGCCATTCTGCAGTCTGCTCTGTTCGTGTTTGGGGGACCAGCATTTACAGGAATAGGTCCAGGTCACTCACCGTAACTGCTGGGTGGCACCTGAGGCAGCGAGTGGACTCAGTGGCCCGTCTCCCGACAGCCAGGCTGGTCCCAGTTTCCCACAACTGCAGCCACTCCCAACCCTCCACCAGGCACGAGTCCCTTCTCCAGAGCAGCCTCCCTCACCAGCCTCCAGGGCGGTGCTCCCTTCTTTCAGGGGTCTTGCCTCGGAGTGCAGTCCTCCTGACGGGGAGGCCCCAAATCTGAGAGAGCAGCCCCCCAAGTTCACCACCGCAGCCCGGGCTGCGCTCGGCACCTGGCGGGCGTGTGGCCTCCTCTGATGGACTGGTGGATACAAGAGAACGGTGGGGGCTGCACACTAGGCCTTGACCTCTTGGTGCCAGGGACAAGCCAGGATGGCCTGGAAAGGCCCAGGCCCCTAGTCCCAGAGGGCAGAAGAGCCACCTGTAAATGGCCAGCCCAGTTGCAGTGGGGTGGGCCCCGGCCTGGGGACCCGAGGAGTTTCTGGACACGTGTTGGCCCAAGTCGGCTGTGACTAGAACACAGGGGCTGCCAGGAAAAGGTCACCCGTGGCCTCCTAACCTGACACCAGGGGCTCAAGTAGCAACTCTGCTGCTGCTAACAACTCTGCCGTCATGCAGGGCCAGGCACTTTACATTCAGTTTGTGGCACCACCCCTGAGCAGGCACCAGCCCTGTTCTAGAAGACACGGAGGGCACACAGCTTGTGAGCGCAAGAGCAGGATTTACACTGATACCGGGCCCACTGGTTCAAACGGGTGCCCGTGCGCACACGCACCAGGGCCCTCCTCGGCTGTGGCCTCGGCTGGGCCAGAGCCAGGCACAGGGCAGGCCCAGCCCAGCTGATGCGCAAGTGCCCCGCTTCCTCCTGCCACGACAGGCTGGGGTAGCTCAGCCCAGGCTCCTCCTGGGGAGTCAGGGGAGGAATCTTCCCAGGAGTGGTAGGTCCAGGCCCCAGCCCAGCCAGGAGACAGAATAGGGCTCAAAACACAGCCTAGCTACAGAATCCCCCAAGCTTTAATGCCATCTTTAATGCCGTGGCCCCAGAAGGGCAGCTGGAGGCTGTGGTGGGTCGTGGAGCTGCAGAGACCTCCCGCCTCCAGCCCCAGGGTCCCCAGGCACCAAGTGACCAGGCAGTGAGAAGCATGGGGACCTCACTCCCATGTCCAACTGCTCCTGGGGCCAAGCACGGCCGAAAGCTCTCAGAGCTCCTGCAGGAGGGCGCGACAATCTGGGGGGAGCCGAGAGGGCATCACTGGGCCTCCGTGGTGCAGCTGCTGGGTGGGAGTGAAGAAAGAGACCATGGTTCCAGCCTGGGGACCGATGGGTGCCTTGAAGCGAGGGGAGGCCTCAGGGAGTTTGGGACAGGAGTGTGCACAGCGCTGGGGGCCCACGGGGCTCCTGGCCTCCTGGGGCACTTGACTCAGGCAACCCCTGAGATGGGGAATGGGAGGACATGTTCCATCTTAGGTCCAAGAAAGGGAGGCCAGGAGCATCCCTGGAACCACCTCCCAGGCACGAGGAAGGCGACGGCGCCCAGGCTGGGGCCAGGCACAGCAGGGCTGGCTTCAGTACCCTCGGGCGGTTTGCCCCCTGTCCTCTGGGCTTGCAAAGGGGTCCACGGGCGCCTCTGCAGAGTCAATTGTCTGGTAGGCGCTGCGATCCTGAGAAGGTCCAAGGAAGCCTGGAGGGCAGCGGACGTGGGGGGAGGAGAAAGGAGGGTGAGAACTCAGATGTTTTTGGTAAGTCCAGACCAAGGTCCACCCCCAAGGCCAGAGCTGGGTGTCCTGCCACCAAAGACAGTGACGGGGGAGCAGCCCCAGGCATTAAGCCTTTAGTATTTCCTATCCCTACGGAGCAGGTATTTTTATCGTTCCCACTTTACAGATGAAGAAACTGAGGGTCAAAAAGATGAACTGACTCGCCTGAGATCACACAGCTCTGAGCTGATGACACTGGGACTGAAACCTGAGCCCAAAGCCAGTGTCCCTGGCCACCAGGCACCCAAGCAGGCCACGCTCAGGAATCTGAGCCCTGGCTCACGGCTGCTCTCTGGCTCCTCTCCCAGGCACGAGGACGTCCCCCACTGCACACATTTGGCCTGGGATCCTAAACAAGTCCCAGGGGCTATAGGCCTCACTTTCCTCATCTGTCCAATGGGAGGAACATTCCTGGCTCCCATCACGAGGGGGGCAGGTCCAGTCAGTGCTGAGGTTGGCCAGGGTGGGCGGCCCCAGGCCATTCCTGTCCTCGCCCCGGCTGCTCCCGGGCCAGTCACAGGCCACTTGGGGCCTCTCACGAGTGAAAGGTAGAAGACCACTGCCCGCCCCTCCCTGTTTGTCTTAAAAAGAGGGAGAAGGAAAGTGAAAGCATGGGTCAGGAGCGGGAAAATGGCTCGGCCACCACAAGAAGGGGTACAGGAGCTCAGAGAGGGCGGGAGGGGAGAGGGCCGTGGCCACCCAGCACCGTCTCTGCCACAGGAGAGGGATGACCCACGTGGCAGGAGAGTGGGGCTCCAGCAGCAGGGCCGGGGGGAGCAGGTGAGAAGCTGCCCCCGCAGGTGCCTGCAGGCCTCAGGCTGCCTCTGGGAGCTGAATGGCGCCCCGCCCTGCGTCCCGAGAAGGCCCTGGCTGCAGCCTGACAGCAGATCAGGACAGCCAGGGGCCCACAGGGCTCTTGCAGCAGACACCAGGTGCTTGCACCCCTTCCGGCCTGGGCAGAGCACGGCGCCACGCTCCTCGGTGCACCTGGAGCCCTGGTCCCACGGGGCAAGGCCGGCCCACAGGGCAGCGGCTGGGGCCCAGGCAAGGGAGGGCGTGGCGCGGCGGGAGCTGGCCGGAGGTGGTGGCCTCACCAGTGTGGATCTGGAGCTCACCCCCACGCTCCCGGTACATCTGGTAGACGAAGCAGCAGGAGAAGGGCTTGAGCAGCAGGCTGAGGATGGCCATGCCAGCCCCGAAGCGCCCCGTGTCCGTGAGGCCGACCCGTGGGTAGAAGATACTGATGTACACGATGTCCAGGAAGATGGTGGCCAGCAAGCCACCAAGAAACTGCAAAACAAGAGACATGTTGTCACCAGCTGACACCCCGACACTCCCACTGTGGCTTCCCCATCACGGATCCAAGACTGGAAGCTGTTTCGTGCCCTCCTGTGTCCTTGGGGTTTGCTGGAAAGCAGACGGGGCAAGCAGGCAGGGCCCTGGGGATGGGCCTCCTGGCTGGAGACGGCAGGCTGGGGACAGGCTGGGGACTTGGCCTGCCAACCCCACTGGAGCCCCTACCCACCTATCTCCCGTCACCCCTGGTCCAGGACGGGCACAACACTCGGCTCCTAGACCTCTAAGATGGAAGGTCCCCTGGAGTTAATCCAACCCATCTCCACCACAAAGAAAATCTCAACTGTCCTGGGCTGCCCCCGCCTCGGCCTGGAGAGATGCGAGCTGGAGCGCTCACTGCCTCCCAGGGCTGAGTGGGTGCTGGGAAGCTCCCGGGTGGGAGACTGCAGCCGGGCCGGGTCAACTCTCCTTCGTAAAGTAGTGGAGTCCCCTCTTGGCCGGGTCTCCCACCCACCTCCCTCCCCGCTGAAAGAGCCCTCGAGGCGGGTTATAGGGTGGATGCTCCTCTGCCCTTTCAGAGTGACCAATCTGGGGCACTGGTGGGATCCCACCCACGCCTTTCTTGGGGAAGACAACAGCAGACTTGGGGAGATCTAAGCCAGGCAAGCGGAGCACAGGCCAGGATAGTGCAGACACGTGTGGGCTGGGAGCCCAGAAGCAGATTTACAAGGCTTTAGACCACAGGAAGAGACGGAAGATTGTAACAGGAGCGGGAGGCAGAGCGGGGCCTGCACTGCTGCCCCACTGCCAGCCACCTCCTGCCCCGCCCTCCTTACCATGCTTATGGCGTCCACGGAGTCCCGCTGCGCCATGGCCCACACGCCCAAGGCCAGGATGGAGAAGTTGGCCCAGGCGTAGGAGCCTGAGAACACGATGCAGCCCCTGCAGGAAGAGGCACCTCAGTCCCATCAGGTGGCCACCATCCCGTAGGTCCCCTCCGTCCTGCTCTGGGGTCCCAAGGCCACCTCCAAGAACAGGCCACAGTCTGCGAGGCCACCTGGCCGTGTGCCAGCAGTGCCAGCAAATCCCACCGCCGCCACCTCGATCCCGGATCCTGAATCCATCGTCCTCTCCTGCCGGTATTACTGCCATAGCCACCCCACGCCGGGCTCCTGACTGCCACTCTGTTCTCTAAATAGCAACCGGTAATGTCAATCGCATGCTGTCACTTCTCTGCTAAAAATCCTCCAACAGTTCTCTGTCCCATCTGGAATAAAATACAGACTCCTCACCCGGGCCGAAGGGGCCAGGGGGATCTGCCAAACACAGCCCCGCCCTTACTGACCTCAGCCACAGCCCTGTGCTCACCCTCCACCCTGAACACTCAGCCCCTTCTGTCACTGGTGTCAGCCTGAATGTGCACTGAGACCCCTTCCCTCACCAACCAACGCTAAGTTCCACCTTCCTCATCACTTTCCCAGCACAATGCCCGCCACCCTATTCTATCTTTTAGGGGTTGCTACTGACATTGTTCATGTATTTGTTTGTTTGCTTGCCAATCCCATGAAAATCAGGGTCAACATTTACAGAGCACTTGTTATTATCTGGCACAGTTCTAAGTGCTTTACATTAACTCAATTAGACTCACACAAAAAAATAAATTAATAAAACAAATTAACTCATTTATGTGCATTTGTGTGTTAACAACTCTAGGAGGTAGGTGCTATTATTAGCATCCTTCCACAGATGAGGAAACTGGGTCACAGAGAGGTTAAGAAACTTGCCCAAGGTCACACAGCTACTAAGTGGTAGGGCTGGGATTTGAACACACAGGCCATGCTCCTGCCCAACTAGCTGTGCCACATAGAAAATCCAGGGGAACAGGGGTCTTGCCTGCCTCACTTGCAACCAGGGCCACAGGGCCCTGACTGCCCCAGCACACAGCAGGGCACTTCATGAATTCAAATGACGTTCCCTGAAGCATAACATGCAGAAAACTCGTGCAAGGTACTTATGTATTAAGTGCAGTTAGGCTCAATAGGTATTTCAGTAAATCATCTCACTGTTTGTTGGTTTTTGTTTGTTTGTTTTGTAGAGATGGGGTCTTACTCTATTGCTCAGGCTGAACTCCTGACCTCAAACAATTCTCCTGCATCGGCCTCCCAAACAAAGTGCTAGGATTACAGGTATGAGCCGCCTCGCCCAGCCATCATCTTTTGGTTTTAAGAAAGCAGGTGCCTGGGCCCCAGGCCAGACTCATCAACTCAGAACCCTGGGGGGCGTGAGTGAGAAATCTGCATTTAGCCCTGCCCCCCCCCCATGTTGTGGAAGAAGACTAGCACTGCTCACTGTTACTCACAGCTGTTTACACGTGCACTGCACTTCAAAGTCTGCAATGTGCACCTGTGAAACCAATGGTTTCCAGCCTTGCTTTGGCAGAGAAATCTCCCAGAAGCACACAGATAAGAGATGTAAACACTGAAAACCAAGGCTGCGACGCCCGAGCCTGGCTGCATGGCGGCCCTACGCAGTCTGACGAGCACTGCCGCACTTCCCCTCCTGGCCCCCGCGGGGTGTGCGGTCCTTATGCCCAGGCAGAAAGCAAAGCCCCGGGAGGCAGAGCCATTCGCCCGAAGCGACCCTGCTAAAACATGGCAGAACCAGGACCCGACCCGGCTGACGCAGTCCCCAGGAGACATGTAGACACAGAGCCCGGAAGACATGTAGACACACACCCCGGGAGACACAATGCAGCGCCAGGAGATGCACGGATGTAGCCGGATACCCAGAGTCACTTACCAGGTTGTCAGCAGCCAGTGACCCAGGAGAATCACCTGTGGCACAAAGGGGGAGAAGGTCTGTGAATCTGAGCACCAGAAGCCCCTCCTGGCACCCGCGAGGGCCTCAGAAATGTGTGTCTTGCAACAGCAAGTGGCCCAGGGTGGAGGATAAAGAACACAGGCCTGGCCGGGTGCGGTGGCTCATGCCTGTAATCCTAGCATTCTGGGAGGCTGAGGTGGGCGGATTGCTCAAGGTCAGGAGTTCAAAAACCAGCCTGAGCGAGACCCCGTCTCTACTATTAAAAAAAAAAAGAAAGAAAGAAAGAAATTATATATATAGAAAAAATGAGCCGGGCATGGTGGCGCAGGCCTGTAGTCCCAGCTACTCGGGAGGCTGAGGCAGGAGGATCGCTTGAGCCCAGGAGTTTGAGGTTGCTGTGAGCTAGGCTGACGCCACGGCACTCACTCTAGCCTGGGCAACAAAGTAGGACTCTGTCTCAAACAAACAAATGAAAAAAAAAAAGAACAGGCCAGGGGGGCTGCCATTTCACCCCCTCAGCCTTCCCTTGGGGCAGCTGACACCCCTTCCTGCCTCCAAGGGCCAGAGGCTCCTTTGGGGAACACAGGGACTCGGCTCTGGAATCAGAGGCCTCGATGGGAAATGGGGGTGCTCACAAGAGGGTGATTTCTGGGGACACTGGAGCTGGGGCACTGTGGGGGCAGGGGGAAGGCAGCTGCTGTGGCTGAGAGGGTCTGGAAGGGTGGCAGGAGACCGGGGTGGGGGCCTTGGGCCTGGGAATGGAGCGTGGGCTTCGTGCCAAGTGCAGGGGGAGCTGGGGGAGACTTTTCTGCAGGGAGACAGCGTGGTATGAGTTAGGATTCGGGAAAAAATCCCTGTGGCTTTTTGTCCAGATTTCTGCAACATTCCACCCTTTTTATTGCCTCCTAGCTCCTTACAGTAAAGCCCGTCTGCTGGAACTGGTCTTCACTCTGCTAATCGCAAAGGCCCGAGCAGAGGCTGCATGGGGGGAGGGGGCCGAGGCCAGAGCTTCCAGAGGGGACTGGGCCGAATGCGAAGCTGAGCCAGGACTGGCAAAGGGGGGAGCCAGGCCCGGGCGCTGTGTGGGTGGAAGGTGTGGCAGTGGCTGAGGCCGGGGTGGCCCTGAGACTTGGAGGCCCAGAGCCCAGTGGGGCTCGGTGGTCAGTGGGAGTTCACTTGGGATGGAGTTTACTCAAGGGATTGGGGGGTGGAGGCTCAGGGTGGGAGGGAGGGTTGCTGAGAGCCCGGGGCAGGGGCCACGTGCTGGGCCCAGACAGCACCCATGAGCCTGTCTGCAGCAAAAGGCCCAGGTGTCTGGCCTGGATGAAAAGGCCGAAGGAGACGTCACTGCCAGCAGTAAAGAACTGGGAGGAAGGACAAGCATTTTTAGAAGAGTTTCTCTTAATTGCACACCTACTATGTGCCAGGTCCTACGCCAAACACCTGCACGCCCCCATCTGGGCCTCACAGCAGCTTCTGGAACCAACATCATCATCCCCATTTCACAGACGAGAAAACTGGGCTCAGAGGTCAGTTATTAATACATTGATCAAGATTCCACAAACAGCAAGTGGCAAAACTAGAACTAAATTTCAACTCTGACTCCAAAACCAGTGCTCCTAAGCTTCACACGGGAAGCATGAGCTTTCAGCGGAGAGGAGCTGCGTGGGCTAGTGAGAACCGTGGGGGTCCTCCCCACACGAGGGCGGATGCAATCAGGACAGAAGGCTGGGACACTCGCCCTCATCTCCAGGGCCCGGGGTCGGAGAGAATGAAGCAAACAAAAGGGGCCTGGATCCATGACCAAAGTGAAGACTAGGAGAATAATTCTACAAGGACCGACGCACCGAGCTTGACAGAGGTCTCGAGGCTCTGCACGGGCTGAGCCGGGTATCACGCAAGGCCAGCTCTAGAGGCCATCTCCACGATCACGCGCCTCCGTGTGTTACTGAGCGCTTGCTGTGTGCGGGGCACCCGCCTAAGCGCTTTCTGTGTACGCTGAGGCCTCGCACTCCTCTCCGCCACCACTGTCCTCATTTCGCAGCTCAGAAAACTGAGGCTCAGAGCTGAGTGTCCGTAACCTGCCCGAGGTCACACACACTGCCCGAGGCCAGTGGCAGAGCCAAGGTCAAACCCGGCATGTACCGCCTGGACATCAGGCCTCTCTCCAGTACAAAGATGGGGAAACTGAGGCATGGGAGGCTTACTCTTCCATTGGTTTCTCTTCCCAGGAGCTTAACAGAAGTGATCAAACGGTGCTAAGTTTCTTAACCACCAACGGTTTAGCCTGCCACACTGGCACCTGCTCTGCGTCCGCCCCAGAGGTTCAATGGTGTGCAGAGCGGACGTGGAGCTGCCCTCCCAGGACTGACGTCCAACAGGGAGACACTCGCTAAGAGGTACTCAGCCTTAAAAGCATGGGGTCCAAGGAGACCCCTGTCCTGAAGGGAAGTTTCAGCAAAGGAAACGGAACCTCACTGTATGGCAGGGAAGGCTTCTCTGAGGAAGAGACAGGTGCGGGGCACAGAGGAAATAAGAGCATTTTGAGCAGGAAGGACAGCACCTGCAAAAGTTCTGTGGCACAGAACATTCTGGAAAGTAAAAAGCAGCCAGTATGGCTGGAACAGAAGGCAAGAGGAGAGTGGAGGAGGGGAGGCAGGAAGCTGGAGGTGGGCAAGGCTAGACCCACAGAGGATTCTGATCTTTATCTTCGGAGCTAACCCTGCCCCTCTGCCTTACTGCAAACCCTGGCCCAGCGGGGAAGGGGCCTCACCACGCAGTGGGCACAGTGGGACTGATGTCCGGCTTTCAGACCAAGAGAAGCCACCAAGGAAAGAGGCAGAGGGGAGGCAGCTCACATCACACTTATCTCCCCAAACCTACACCTAACCCTTCCCACTTTGACTCTGTTCCAGAAACAATCTTCATTTCCAAGTGCTCTGGCACCTGTGTCTACACTGTGCACACAACAGGTCTTTAATAAGTGGGCGTTTCTGGGTCCTGCAGAGCCCTGGACTATCATGGAGAGAATGGGGCTTAGGATGAAAGGCTGATATGCAGGAGGGTCCCCTGCGGGTCACTCGCTCTGGAAAACCTGTGTGTGAGCTGAAAGGGCGCATGATATACAGTGAGCGCCAGCTAGGCGCCAAACCACCGCCACCTCTGTTAGAGAAGAAAATAGTATCACTTGGCACAACTGCAGCTCCTTAAAAGACATGCAATCGTAGCCACGTGAGTTCACTTTTGCTTTATAAACATTTAAGAAAGTCAGCACCATTTGATCACTTATCTTAAGTCCCTGGGAAAAGAAACCCACAAAAGACTAAGCCTCCTCAGCCTCAGTGTTCCCATCTTTGTAATTGGAGGTACCCCACCCCCACAACCCAGGGAAGCCTAATGCACGGGAAAGCTCCAGGGAGAAACTGAGCCAAACAGGCCCTGCCCGCCCGGGCAGCCCAAGGAAGGAGGGGCCGGTGACTCATTGTCAGCACAAAAGAACTGTCTGCTGCCTCTGGGGGTCTGTCCAGTGAAGAGAGACACTGAAGATGCTCAGGCAGTGTCTGGAGGAGGAGCTGGGAGCAGGGGAAAGACCTGAGCTAAACAGGAGTGGGAACTGGGACCCCAGGAGACACCTGAGCAGCAGGACCTTTCCTGGCTGGGGAGGAAGAAAGAAGGGCTTGAGCCCCTGGACTCTCACTACAGTGCTCAGCCTAGGGAGGCTGCCCAGCTATTCCCCAGACAGGAGCCAATGGGCCAAGGCAGCAGGGGGCCACAGAACACTGCATTGGGAATAGGAGACCCGGGTGCAGGTCCAGGAGCCAAGGCCTTGGGCTCCTTCTCCGTGAAATGGAGGCAGCATACGTCCTGGCGGTACCCGTCTGTCCACGGGGACGCCTCAACCCGCAGGCGTCTGAATGGTCACTGCCTGCATCGATTTAATAGCCGTAAGTACCTACATGGGACAGGCCGCCTGCAACCACAACAGCAGCAACTCCTGCTACTGACAAGCACCTGCCGCTACGCATCCACACTGCACCAAACACTGGACCCAGGTCATCCGTGTTCATCCCGCGTGGGGGTGAACTGAAGCTCTGAGAAATTAATTGGCCCAATTTATAAAGCTTATATAAACAACAGAGCCCAGACACAAATCTCAGAATACTCGGTCTGTACGGCCTGAGTTTTTAACCCTAATTTTACAGTACCTCCTGGACTACCAGATCCTCTTCTTACTACCCTAGAAGGTAGGGCCTATTTGTATCCTCTTTTTACAGGAAAGAAACAGACACTCAGAGAGGTTAAGAGAACTACTCAAGGTCACACAATCAGTAGCGAAGCCTGGCCCTGCAGGCAGGTCTTTCTGGCCCAAGGCCCGTGCTCTATGCACTGTGCACGCTGTCGGCATCTACAAGAGCCAGGGAAGGGTGGATGAGAATGGGGAAAGAAAGGCTTATGAGAAACCAAGGGGCTATGCAGACTAAGACTTCGGCCACTAGAGCACCCGCGGGAGGTGGGGGTGAGACCTCCCAGACAGGTGGTGGACAGAACTGCCATCAGCCTACGGATCAACATACAGAGCATACTCTTGCCAGTCCCATGCAAACACCTGGCAGCCTGTTACATGAGATAGTGAGATCCCCCCAGGGTGGCTGAGGCTAAGGGACCCCAGTCAGGGCTGCCACACAGGGGAAGCAGAGCCATGCATTGGCTCCATGACTTAGAAGCTATGCAACTTTAGGCAAGTCACCTGACCTCTGTTTGCTCTTCTATGAAGCAGAGATAAAAATATCCATTTCACAGGGTTGCTGTGCGGATCCAGTGGTGCAGGGAGGCAGAGAGGTGTGGGCAATGCTCAACACTGCCTGCCAGGGAGCCAGCCCCGGACAGGAAGCAGTCCTCACTGCTACGAATGGGAGGTCAGCTTCCTGAGCTGTTTTTATGTTTTAAGAGAAAGGCTCCCGTTCTGTTGCCCAGGCTGGAGTGCAGTGGTGTGATCATTTCTCTCTGCAGACGCGAACTCCTGGGCTCAAGGGACTACAGGCAAGTGCTACCATGCCCAGCTAATTTTTAAATTTTTTGTGGAGATGGGGTCTGGCTATTGTTGCCCAGGCTGGTCTTGAACTCCTGGCTTCAGGTGATCCTCCCCCTCAGCCTCCCAAAGTGCTGATATTATAGGTGTGAGCCACCACACCGGGCCGAAAGCCTAGTCCTTTCTTAGCTTGTCACAGTGGCATTTCTCCAGCTCAGGACTTGATTTAAGAGAGGCATAGATGGGGCTCAGTTAGGGACTGCCCTTTGTGCAAAGGGCCTAGAGCAGCTGTTTCTTCTCAGCTGGCAGCACTGCCCACCCTGGCTGAGCTGGGCACAAGCAGGCGGTCAGCCAATGCCCAAGGAAGGGATGCAATGACAGAGTGGGGGGTGGGGCACAGACCCAGGGTGCAGTTTCCCAGCTCCTGGGCTCAGAACAGTCCACATAAGTACCTGCAAGCAAGGACTCAACAGCTGCCCTCCATAAGGCAGCCAGATTTAGCATGCAAAAATACAGAACAGCCAATTAATTTTGTATTTCAGATCATGAATAATTTTTTTTTTGCCACTAAGTCACCAGGGAAAAATCATGAATAATTTGTTAGTATGTCCCCAAATATTGCCTGAGACATACTCATACTACAAAACTGCTGCTGATCTGAAATCCAAATTCAAGTGAATGGCCCGTATGTTACCTAGCAACCCTAGCACCTCAAGGCCTCCCCGCCCTTACTTGTCTCTGACTGGTAGTGGTGAAGACCCTGGGAGACATGGGGTCTTGCTTTGCACGCCAAGGGAAGGACCAGCCTTGTCTCCTGGGCTCACAAAGCCAGCACAGCTCACGCCCGTGCATGTTCTTGGCCTGTCAGGCCCATTAAGTTGCTCTAAGCAGCCCTAACAGACTAAACCCTCCCGAGGGACACAAAGAGTCAAGGCCAGAGTTGGCCCTAACTAATATGGAACCAGGAAAGAACAGGGCACCAGAGTCTGATCCCTGTGGGTTCGAATCCTGACTCTGCCACTGACTCCCTGTGGAAACTTGGCAACTCACCCGAGCTGAGCTGAAGTGTGCTCATCTGTAAAAAGATGACAATATCGGCTTCCTCAGAAGGTTGCTGTGATTAAATAACCTGGCACACTACAGATGCCACATAAATGAGGGCTCTCTTCCCTTCCAACTCCTGCGGCTCTACCCCCTACCTGATCCTTGCTTAGCAATTATTTTAGGCAAATCTCTAATCAGAGAAAAGGCGGTTGGTGTTAACCCCACATTGCCTGGCATAGAGTGAGTGAGTATTGATACCAACCAACCTGTTGCCCTCATGGGAATTTCTTTCCAGCTAACCCTTCCACCCAAGTCCCTTCTCTGGCTCCAGCCATCTGTCCCCCAGCTGTTGACTGGCAGCTTCAGGCAGGTTTGCTGAAGCAAGGACGATTAAGAAGGGAAAACTGCCCAGGGCAGTCATAGCACAGACTGTGTAACAATCCAAACATGGACTATGCTGTTACTTTGTAGCCATCTTTTAGATTCCTTTAGTCCCAAACACCAACAGGGTAATAAATGCTTTGTCACTCATGAGTAAGAGTGCATTCCTGGACATAGTCTCAAAGGAGCCTGCACCAAAACCCAAAATGGCCGGTTTGGTCCGAAGTCCACACCTTCCTGACCAAAGCTAAAGTCCCCAGCCCCTCTGCTGCAAAGCGAGCCGCGACACAGGGCGACTGGGGCTGGGCGCGGAGCAAAGAACCGCGCTGAGCACAGCTCAGGAAATGAAGACACTCCAGGAAGCCCTGCAGTGTTTTCCCAAGTGCACAAAGTTGGGGTTTTCTGTTTTTAGGTAATTTCTACTGGAGTTCGTGCTTGTCAATTGTGAAATAAGGACGTTAGATTTATAAACTTTGGAAAACCAACTGGTAACACCTGCTTTTCTTAACCTGACGTAGCAAACAAAGGCGGCTCCCAGGACAGTATGGGGACTCCGGGGAAAGGTCCAGCCCCTCTGTCCCCGAAGGAGAGGGGTCCGCCCACCTCCCTGGGCTTCGGGGGGACCCCTTCCCCGCGCCTTCCTCCCCCTCCAGGGGAACTCCGGGCGCGCGGGCCAGACCAAGGCTGGGACCCCGCTCCCCACCGGAGGGTCTGGCTCCGGGAGTGGGCGGCCCGTCCCGACCCTGCCACCTCCAGCTGCCCCTCTGGGTCGTCCCCGCTGGCCTTCGCCTGGACCCCGCTCCCTGCTGCGGCTGTGCGCTCACGTCCTCCTCACCGGGTCTGTGCGCTCCCTCTCCCTGCCACCCCAAATGGGGGCACTTCGCCCCAGACTCGCGGTGCCCCACCTTCCTTAAGGAAGCAAGTGCCCCCGCCCCCCGCAGCGGGAGAAAGGCCCGCCCCCCAGCGGAGCCCCGCCCCCAGCGGGAGGCCAGCCCCGCCCCAGGCGGGAGAGGCCCCGCCGACCCAGCGGGAGAGGCCGCCCCAGGGAGAGGCCCG